AAAGAGTACAAGAAGAGTGCAAGTGTCCAACACTACCCTAGCACGCTCTGCAAGCATCCGGCAATCAGTTGCTACGGACTTCCTGAGCTGGAAGTTACATCTGCAGCCCTGTGTTTTATGAACTAACAAATTGTGTTTAAGTAGTTCTATTTGCATCCTCCCAACTCCACAGGCTTGTTCTTTATCCAGTACATCTCCAGATGTTACCAGCCCCTCAGTTGTGGTAACGCAACTATTTGTGTGATCATGCTCTAAACTAGATCTGTAAAACATTTCAGATTGAAAAGGATTCCTACGACTGTTCCTGCAGGCAATGAATAACAGCGTACTTTTGCTCACAGTCAGCCCAAGTGGCCGTATATCTCTAAGGTCCTAATCTTGCTTAGGACTCCCGTGATTGGGAATTTAAGAAATTCTACATCTAGGAAAAGATAACATTAAAAGACTTGAGTAAAGCCAATACATCATTCAAAGTTCAGGCAATACTTGGTGTTGGAGATGTCGCAGGCGTTCTGGCATTCCACTGTAATCAATGACATTTTTGTTTTTTAAACAAAAAATGGGCTTTCTGTGTGTGTGGCATTTTCCACAGCTGCCTGATTTAAAGCATGAATACACGCATAGCACTGCTTTTCTCTTTACCCCTTGGCCCTCTGCTTGGATGGTCCGCACTGGTTTGAAGATCCTAAATGCAGTTTTCCAAAATGTCCTTCTAGAGTTTGAAACTGCATCGTTATAACTACTGTAAGCACTCCAGTCTCTCATCGTCTCTATACAGGATCAAGAAGAAGCTTTCCCAAATCAAACTCAGGCCTACTGATGTTTCCTGTGCACTTGCAGCAGTCTGGGCAAAATGTTCACTACAGTCTGCCTTTAGCACTCAGTAAGAAATCTGTGGGCCTCTGCTGTAAAGCCCTGACCTCACAACAAGTACCAAGGGCCTCATTTTGTAGGTCTTGCTACAACGTTATTGCATTACCTGTGGTTCCTTGTCATGCTGGCTAGGATCCTTTTCATAACTCTCTGCGTAGATCCGGAGAGTAGCTCGCACATGGCTAGAAGCACTCATTCTGAAGATGAGCCTGGAAGCATCTGAAAAAACAATTCGCAGCCCCTACGGGGAAAAAAAAAGGGAGCAGCATATATATGAGGTAGCAGCACCTTTACAAATTGCAGTTCACTGCTCTAAAATAAAAATAAAACAAAAAGTGAAAAGAATAATGATTTGGATTCAATTCTTCTTCCCTGGTGACTTTGTGCAACTCATTACCCTTATTTCCCTTCTGAAGACTAGAGACAGTCTCATGTTTTCCTGACCACTGCTCATAACAAGAACTTTCTTACTGATGGCTTTTTTTGCTCTAGCTGCTTTGTTCTTGTTCTATTTCTAAGAAATTTCATTGAAATCTCAGTGGCACAGCACAAAATCAATGGCCTGAGAAATAGCTGTAAGATCAATGAGTATCAGTGGTCTGAGAAATAGTTACAGGATCCCAGGATCACAGAACAGTTGTCCTTAGTGAACACAAGAGACAGCACCAGTTCTTGCTTCTCCTGGACCACGCTTCAAGAGCTAGTTACAAAGATTTAAACAAAAGTCTGTAGTACAACTCAGGAAACTTATAGTGTTAATTTATAGTAATTAATGCACATTGAGCTGTTTGTAGAATAAAAAGGATTTATTTTTAATTCATCATGAGTGTGCTCCTTTGCTCTCATCTTAATCTCCTTTTTCTTTCCTCTTTCTCCTTTTCCACTCTATACACATGTGTGGATCCAGAGTCAATAGGCTGTCGGTACATGAGGGCTGTAAAGCAAGCAAGGTCAGACAGATGAACTTGCTCTTACTGAAGACAAAGAACTAAATTCTACAGTTAAATAGCTGCAGGGCTTTAATATTCTTCCAGTTCCACACTTGCATATCATCTAGCTCCCTTTCTGTAAATGTTACGATTAGGCTAAGTGCCACCTCTGCCATAGCACTAAACTTAATTTCCCATTAAGTGTCCTGCTGCTGCATAGTGCATGAACAGAGACCCTTGCTTCTTCTGTCTGAGGGACAGTAAGCTATCTAAAAACAATGAAAGAGGATTAAAGAGAGAAGCATTTTAGTCTTCCTTTTCTATCAGCAAGTGCCTAGGAAGACACTGGTGTTAGCAAGAGAGTGCTCCAACATGCTAAAATATGAGTGGAAACCTTTGTTTGCTCAGGTATGTGCTAAAACATTTTTAGTACCATATAAAGAATTGCTTGGTTGATATTGCCCCTTAACACTAGAAAATACGCAACAGAAAAATATCCCACATGGGTAGAAGACTGGATTAGAGAACCTAAGAGATACTGTCCATCTTTAATTTTGGTGATTCCATGAACATTTTTTAGCTGCTAGTATAGCAATATACGTTGATTTTAACATTATTCCAATGATATAATTTCAACATTCTATCAGGGCAATTTCAGTGCAACATTAATTCACCTAGTATTCTCCATATGTACAGCATATGTGACAAGCAGAAATAGTTTACATTGGGAAATCTGAGATTTAGAGCATGTTTTTCTTATAGTTTGTGAACTTTCTCTTCTCTTTCAGATACTTGCCACTAAGCCAACTTTTTGAGTTCCGAGATAAAATCTTGGCTCAAACGATGTCGGTGGGAGTTTTGCTGTTGACCTCAAAGGAATTGAGATTTCCTCCCAGATTTTTAGAAGTATATAGTCAGTATGTCATTATCTGATACTCCGAGCAATGGGGTGTCTCTTTGTGATGGCCAATTACTCTTAACTTTATGACAGTGAGGAAAAAGAAAATAAATCAAGGATTTTTGCAATTTTAGGCATAGTTTGCTTTGAATGGTTGTCAGATCTAGGATCAATAGCTCAAAGTAAGCAACATTAATGTCAACCAGCTTTAAGAGGGAAGGAAAGGAGTCTAACATATTTGCACAAAATGAATGCAAGGGACCATAAACATCAAAGCATGTGCATATCTTTCCTTCGAATGCTTAAAGAGTCATTTCGCATGTTCCTGCTAGCTCTGGCAACCCCCACAATGACATGACTAGCAAGACTGTTTGAATACTCTTCTCTATACTCCATCTTATCTGTCAATAATAGCAGTGACAAACAGTTAGTTGGCTTAGCACACCGGATGCTGAACTCTCATCACTTGTTAAGTCATGGTCTTCAGAAGCAAAAGTGTTTATAAACACTTCCCCTCATTGCATTATGCCAAAATGCTCCACCAGACTACAGCATCTCTAGACCGTTAGATGCTACAGTTTATGGTACTTGGGATTCTTACGCAACACACACACACACATGACCAGTGTTCAGTCAGTTCTCTGTACCATTTGTCAGCTCTTCATTTTCTTCGTTTTGCATTTCTCAGAGACAACTGCTTGACAATATTAATTTCTACAAAGGGGTGACGAGAGCTGATACTTGTCTATAAGACCAAGACTCCTGCCATGCAGCTGAGAATACTCCAGAAAGGGGCGTTACAGAGATACAGTAGACGTGCTCCTCAAAATCAGTAACCCTAAATGCCAGAGAAAAATTGTATACAATGGCCTTTAGAGTCAGACTATCAAAGTCAACTTTAGAGTCATGATGTTTGCACCTGGAGATTTGGCACCCATTATTCACAGAGTCCAACAGCAAAAATCTGCCTTCTGACTCTCCTTTGGAAACAATCACACTGACTTCAGATTTAGCAAAGCTTTTCACTCAGGAAGACCACAGAAACTCATGAAAGTTCTTAAATGTTTATATTCTCCCACCATTTTCTGGAACTTACCGCTAAAAGCCATGAGTTAAAAACATTTCTCAAAACCAAAAGAATAACCAAAAACATTGTTACCAAATAAATATGAAAAAACACTATCTGGAGAATCAGCTATGGCACTGCATTCTCTGTAAAAAAAAAAGTGTTTTTCCCCCCATTTCTTATAGAATACCCATTCTAACATATATAGGGTTCTTTTTTGACATTTTTGAGCTTTTGTGGTCAACATGATTGAGGCAAGCTTGTGAAACTGCAAGCAGACTGCTTATGTTTGACATGATTGCATTTTTTCACCTGACATAAGCCCAGTGAGTATAATATGCCACACTAGCAATTTTATTATTAATAAGGTATTAGATACATGAACCTGCACCAGATAAAATTGTATATGCAGAATTTATAAACTGACAGAAGAGGAAAAGAAAGAGGGGTAACGTGCTGAAAAGCCCATGGGAAAGAATAGCTTTCAGTTATAATATGATGGGATACACTATTGTCACTGACAAGAATAACATTATCTTATGGGAACTGATAATTCTTTTTTCTGGGAGGAAGCAGATGAAAGGATTTAGTGCAGCTCCCACACTCAACATCTGTAGATATTTATTTTAGTCAAATTAGGCCTGCTAATGGATATTAATGAGCTGTGTGGAAACTCTGAAACAAAACTTATGTCCCATGGTTAACCCGCCAGCTTTGAAGCTCATGTGACAGTGACAGTCTTACAGGGATTCATCCTTCTTACATTAAAATCCAGTTAAAGAGTCCACTGACTTTTTAGTATTTATGAAGCACCCTCCATAAAAATAAAACTGTCACATATTGTACTAGGGTAGTTTGTTTTTCAGTGGTTTGTTGGGATTTTTTGTTTACAACTTTATAATTAAAGAAACAATAATAAATTAACATGGTAAATCAGCATGAACAAGATTAAGCAGCAAACTTGCAGCAAAATGGCTTAGGACTTGCAAAACATTATTAAAGTACAACACCGGGGAGAATCACCAATAAAAAAATTTAGTATAGCAGCAGTGTGTTAGACATAGAGGCATGAACTGAGATTCGTGCCTACGGTCAGCCCAGCAGGAACAGGTCAAGAAACAATAGTCTTTTTTATAATATGTGGCAGGTGGTTGCTTTATAGAAAACAGCAAAAGCAAAGACTGTTTTTTCTACGTGACACATGGCACCATTTGGGAAAGGGGGGACTCCCTGTGCTTGAGTCTGTATTGCTATTGTCCACACAGGCTCCATCCCTTCTTATGTTCCCTGTGACATGACTGCCTCTAGCTACGCACAGGAAACGCAAGCTAAACCAGAGGTGGATATCTTACCCAGTATGAGCTAATAGTGAGTAGGAAATGTGGTACCTGCTACAGCAAAGGAAACACCATTCTATAAATAAAAGGTGAGGCTTGTTAGCTCGGTGTTAGAAATGACATTGTAAGACACGCGTTGAAAGCTGTAAAACTTTGTTACACCATCACCACATCCCTACCTGTCTTTTGGTCACAGTGCCATCCACAGGATCCACATACTCAAAGCTGTCTGTTCTTTCCACGCTGTAGATATTGCTACCCACAGCAAACTGCTGATTGCTGAATGACTTGTCAGTGATCAAAGTTTCCAGGTCTCTCATTATGAAATATGCAGTTCTGGGTTCCAAGCCTTCATAATCAAACCTTGCATATATGAAAAAAAAAAAAAAAAGTAGAAACAAAAAATAAGTCCTCTACTGCTGAAAAAATGTATCTGTTTTTGTAAAACTCAATGCATTCACAGTTAGCAATTTACTGCTTACTTCAAAAACCAGAGGTAGCTACTGAAATATCCACTGCAAATTAAACTAGCACATGAGCTAAGTCCTGTGCAACCTGCCAGTTATGTGCGGGCACTACTGTTCTCTACTAGCCACGTGATTCTGAGTCAGCAGAACCCATTTAGAAAAGTCATGCTCTCCAAAGTAGCACAGAAAACATCACCTACACGCAGGTAGCTTTTTGAGCTGAAGGACACAGTCAATACGGTTCTCAATTGCCAGGGGAAAAAGAGAAAACCTAGCTAAAAATGCTGAGAAACAGCTGTATGCAAAAGACATTGTGGATGAAGTCTAGAGAGAGAGACAGGCAGAAGCCAAGATAAGATCTGTGTCATGTAAATTCCTGTGAGAACAGTCCCTTTTGAGACCCTGGCAAAAATTTCTAGATCTTTGAAGGGCTTTTCCTAAGTTAAAAGTAGGCATCCAGTTATCACTAAAATTGTTCATGTTGCCATATGAAAGCACAGAAACATATGCTTGAGTAAATCTTGCTGAGATGTTGATTTTTGTTCCAACACTATGTTAACAACTATTCCTATGGACTCCACATGTAAATAATTCAATGTTTCTGCCATTTGATGTCAGCAAAATCAGTTAGCCATCTACTGGAAGGGAAATAAACACACTGCTCCTTCATTTAGTAACTGCCTGCAGAACAATGGCAATCCGTGGCAGACTTTCATGCTGTGGACACACCCAATGCACGCTTAAGTGCAGCTGAGTACAGCTAATCAAGCCACGGTTGCAGAAGAATTGTCCTACTCACTGCATAACCTCTTGTGTCATTTCCTTATTCTTCTCACCTGCAGTAGTAGTGCCGGCCAAATTTTGTCCAGTGATCCCTGACAATCTCCTCCACGCTCTGCTTTCGAGCTGCTAGGATTGAAAGCCAAACTAGCACAGCCCATAATCCGTCTTTCTCTCGAAGGTGGTCAGACCCTAAAGAGACATAAGAAAAGCACATTATTTGATATTGCTGCAATCAAGAAAAGCAGGTGGGAAGGCTGGGCAAACTGCTCGTTTTAACTATGTATGTCAGACACAGTAATCAGAAAAGTATTAACTTCCACTGCTCTTGTGTCTTCTAGACCGATAACTAGAACCTATACTTAAGAGATGTTGTACCTATATATGAAAAGGTCTGTATTACTAAGCCTAAAGAAGGAGATGCACAATTACTTGGACATAAGTGGTAGAAGTGGGAAAACCTTCTTAACCCCGTTTCCTGCTCACTGACACACAGGGTATTTCACACATCTGGTAGTCTTTCCCAGAACTGGGCTCTTGGTCATGAACCAGAATATTCTGATTGATGTGGGACAAGTTCAACAACATCTCCTTATCTCCACAGATGTTCATCTGTCAAGCTGAGAAACAATTTTCCCATTCTATTAAAAATGAAGATTTCCAGAATGTTCATGACCTCCCTTCAGGACAAAAATCAAGAGCCTGAAAAACGTTTCTAAAAAAAAAGAAAAAAAGAAAAAACCCAGAAAACAATACTTTTCCTCCTTTCTCAGTGGTAAAGATTTTTGAATGCTCAGATCTAAATCTTTTCCCAGGTTTATATCTATAGAAGGAGAAAATGATCCAGCAGTAGAGACTGAGAACAATTCTGGAGTACTCATAGCTCTCTTAGCATATACTCTTGCATATGGGAGGCACAAGTTCAAGCCTAACGTGAATTCAAAGGAGCACAGACTTGAACCTGCAATTCCAATGTCCAAAGCTAGAATGTCAACATGGAGTAACGGGCTGCTCTGCAATAGACATGTAACATATCTTGACCAGCTTCTATGAAGCTAAGAAGCTCTGCCTGTTAAAATTGGAGTATATAAATCAGCAAAAAGTTTCAATAAAAACAATGTTTTCTACTAAAGGACTATTTCATGGCAAGATTCTTGGCCGCCTTATTAAGTGTCCTCTTTCTGGGGATAATTCAGAACGAGCTTTTGTGGAAATCTATATCCAAATCACATTACCCCATAATCATAAGGAAGCATGCATCTCTGAGAATTAACATACAGTAAGACCTAAGATACCTGACTGTCAGGAGATATTGAAGATGGCTACTTATTCTAATAGACTCAAGAAACTTGATCAGACAAGTCAAATCTGTGGTCATTACCCTGGCACAATGCCAGATTTGGTTGAAGTCTAACTGCAATGCTATATTTTTCTGTCTAGTCCCACATTATGGAAACGTGGCTACAAAGCAAGTGCAAAAATTTACAAGTTTTTCTTCTGGAGTGAATTGCAGTTGCTTGGACAACGTGTGCTGCTAAAAGACACTTAGCAAAATCCTCCAGGATTCAGAATGGTTGTGCAAAATATCCTCTTCCATCAAACACAAAAATCCTGTGGCAGCAAGACTGCTTTGCAGTTCTACTGCTTTGCATGATAGCCTGCAAATTCTATATGGTCATCTGTCAAAATGTTTGTTTTGCTACTAGCAGAGAACAAGGTTACCGTAATATAAATTGATTTTCTGAAGCAACTAATCCTGTGAAAAACTGTCACCAGAAAATTAAAGATGTATAAGGAAAACAGTAAGACCTGCAGAGAGCCATTGTAATTCCTAGGGTTCACTTCCCCCTCCAGTCCCTACTGATGCCTTTGACTTGCAGTCTCTACTCTTGGGAGAGAAAAAAGAGTTTCTCACATCCAGTTAGTAAGAGTCCATCGTTCTAGGCTTGTCACAGCTCTGCTTGCAACTCACGCTTCTTGCGATCCATTCAGCTTGGGGCATGTGAATGCAAAATGCCCTGAATCTTAACATTGAGAAAGTTTACTGCAGAGTTAACTAAAGGCAAATAGCTATTTTAGCACAATATCAGAGTTATATAGGTAAGATTACTGAAGAGTTGTAAAGAGGAAAAATAAATGTTTATAGAAGGCGCAGCCAAAAAAGACTTACATGAAGACTATGCTGGTGTCTACGAGTTTGTTAATACAGAACACTAGGACAGGAAATAGCGTAAAAGGATTTAAGAACTGAAACACACTATAACTTTCCTTCAGGTTTGCAAAGTAGCTGTCAGACGGTAAGAACACTTTCGTTCTGCACTTTTTTTCTGCCTTGATCTGTAATCTGAGAGCTCTTTGGCACAAGGGCAGTCCTCTCGTGCAATGCCTACCGCAAAGGCTGGGCCTCTAGGAGCTGCTGTCGTAGCAGCAGCAGGTCTCTGCATTCCCCGTTCAGAGTCTCCGGGTGCTATCACAGCATAGAGTGTTGACTAATCAGAATAAAAGGGCAGGGTTATTTATGAGCTCTCAGGGCTTTGCAATAACTTCAGATAAGAAAGGAAAAATGCCACTTCACAGGAAGTCAGCCCTTCAGATAATCAGCTCCTCACCTTTTCTACTCCCCCTTTATGATAATAGGGCTAGATCAGCTGAAGGATGCCTTCCACAGAAATAGCAAGAACGAGGCCTGCAGATACCATAGTTAGCTTTGCTCATTTACAGAGCAGATAGCACAGTCATGGTCATTCTATCATAGCCAAGTGAGTCTGTTCCCTAGATAACTTTGCCTGTGCTAGAACCAAGAAAACTAGGCAGGTTTCCACCACTGCCACTAAAAGGGATCTAGTGTATAGCTGCAGGAAAAACTGCCCAGGCACTGCTGGGACCAGTATTGGTGGGGGTCCTGGTAGCACCAGGGCCTGTCCTGACGTCCCAAGGGAGTAGGGCACCAGGAGCAGCCAGAGCAGCCCCAGCCTTGGCATTGGGCATCACTGCAAGGACAGGGACAGGCTGGGGCTGAGCAGGGCAGGTGCTCATGGGTCGGGGTCGGGGGGCGTGCCCGCAGCGCCGTGGCCACAGCAAGCTCGTCCCACCATGGCTCCTCCCTGTCCTCTTAGCCTCCCTAGATATTCATTGCTAGAACCAAAAAATTCAATTTCACCTAAATCTTGTAACCATCTCTGTTTGCTGGTATTACCAGCAACTTAAATTGCTTAAGTATCTCAACAGGTATCAGCAGCCAGTGGAGACACGGTGTAGAGCTAAACACCTCAAAGGCCTTTTCCAATATAAGTAGTGATTTATTCTTCTTTTGGGTAACACTGCACACTGCAAGCCATCAAATCATACAGTGAAAGGCACAGCATTCATTCAGCAAAATGGTCTATACATCATGTTAGCTGTGCAAAGGTCTGAGCTAAACACGGAAGAAGAGATGCATTTTGATTTAGCAAACACTTCAAATATGTTTTATTGAACCTAAACGGTCCAGTGAAACATGGGCAGAAGAATTTTTGGAATGGCCTCAGTTGTGCTCTGAGCCCTGTGCTGGCATGACTTGAGCTCATAAATCTCCATGAAGAGGGATGAGTGTATACATGTACTGTTCTTCTGATCCATTTAGCAGCTTTGGCATGTGCTATGTCCTTGTACGTCCTTCAGGACAACAAACTGATTGTTGCTTCTGTGGAAAAAGAAAACATTGGAAGAAAGCAATCCAGAGGCAAAAGCCTGGATGGAAAAATCGGGAAGCAATCCAACAGGTCCAGTATCAACAATCACTGATGAAAAATGCTAGCCTTTCAGGAATATAATAACAATAAACCTGTGTGCACAAGAAGTGTCCTAGTTAGTTCTTAGTAGGAGGGAAATTGACAACTGGGATTTCTCAGAGCTTGTTTATTCCCTCCCTTTTGTTTCACCAGCACATCCATCAACTGCATTACTATTTGTATGTGTGTTATTCTTATTGCCTTTATTTCCTTTAGCAAACTGAAACCCTTTACCAAAACTGTTTTTTACCTACTGTATCTTTGCCTGTTGGTGTCTTTGCTCACTTTCACTCTTTCTGTCTTTCTCTTTTTTTCCTACTCCCCGCCTCATATGTCTGAAATAGTCGGGATGCAGCTGGCTCTAATATCTCAGTTCAGCTAACAATATGTTTATTTTGGTTTATATATTCAGTATCTATAGTCATGGATCAACAGAGGCAAAACCGGTTCCTGCACAGTGGTCAAATAAAAGGTGCCTTGCAGCTCTGTACTCCTAACTAACATTGGCTGTACCTTGCTGAGGGCTCTCAGCAGTCCTAGGATTAATTGTCAGTGGTATTTTTTTTTCAGACATCCAAAAAATTAGTGAATTCTGGTCTCTGTTTAAGGAGCTGAGGCAGAAAGGGGGAACAGCAGAGTGGAGTCAACAAATTTGTTTCTGATTATGCCACTGTATCTAATTTACCTTTGATAAGGGTAATTGTAATAATGACAACTACTTTGAAAGCTTGTTTGTAAGTTAATCTGTCACACATTGCTTGATACAACTGTAGCAAAAGTTATTTTTTGCCACTTCAGCAGTCAATTGCTATGGCCACACTCAGTAAACAATCTGGGAAAAACTGACATAGCATATTCCCATTCATAAATGAGTACTCAATTTAAACAGGCTTAAAGTGAAGTCTTGAGAATCAGTGGTCTGAGAAACAAAGCAAGCTCATGCAAAAATATTTTTCTGATACTGTAAAGCTGTTGGGCATATAGGCATTCTCCTAAGTGTTATATACCTCTATATCTGAGATTTCCAAGCCGGAAACAGACAGTGAGCCCAGAGGGTCCTACGCATGTTGAAAACGTAACTGTTTTCCCCTAAATCAGTCAACTCCATTTAGTACGCTACATTCTGTTAATGTGAGTTTTAAAAGCAAAAATCAGATTTAAACAAGTAAACAGACTTGTACTTTTTTGTTTGCACTCACTTTGCAGCTTACAAATCTATCTTCCAGAGATCTGAATCTTCATGATATTTTTGGCTAATGGAGATTTGGGGGCATATCATAAAGTCACAGTATTATTTCAGTTTTGTGTTACTCTAACGGAGATACCTAGAGCTCTTTAAGGCTTTCATTACTCTCAGCAGTAGAACATCTTTATGCTCTCCACTAGTTCTTCTTTCACATAATCTTGCAGGAGAAGGCCACTAGTGTTACTGATATCTGGAAGTGTGGAGATGAAGCGCGTAAATTTATGAAAAACGCAGCAATTACTAAAGAGGCTTACACTGAAAGAAGACAAACCAACCACACAGCTCTTCTAATTCTGATTAATAGTTTGCTGAAGAAATTTAGATACTAATTGCTGCTGCTGCTGCCCTTCTCTGAACTGTGTCCTGGGCATTACTCATAGCACCAGAAAGCTACTAACCTCATCTGACAAGCTCCCCACACTGCTACAAAAATGGAAGAAGTTTTTAAAGCATTGGTTCAGCTCCAAGATTAGCTGCCAGAAAACAAGTCTGGGAAACACAGCCCTATGGGATGTTTTCAAAATCTTTTGTCCTTTTATAGCAGAAAATTTGCTTTTATTTACTGGCCGGAGCAAAATCCCTTATGTTATTAAGCCAGGGCTCTCTATTATTTGGAAATTGCAGCTGGGCTGGATTACCTGGATATACAACCAATCACTCCCCAGTGTTGTCAGGTTAGTCTGACAATAGAATGTGGATCTCAAAAACCCCTTTCTCTTGCACAGAACAGTAAATTCCTTGCTCTAACCAGCTATATGGCATATTTCTTTAAATACTCCACTCTGAAAGCCAAAGTAGTGCCAAGTTTCACTTCCCTGAAGAGAGACAGTTGAGGGGAAAGCTGTAACGCTGATTCAAATGCCCAATACTAGAAGAAACTGGTGAGGATCAGGCAGTTTAGGACATTATCAAATGATCTGCAAAAAGATAAATATTTATTACTAAAACCAGTCTGCATTGCTAAAGTATTGGTCATCAGCAAACCAGCCTGTGTTTTACAAATATACCTCCTGGCGTATGAGATACTTTCAGACTGCTCCATTCAATTGACAGACAATAAGGAAACTAAGGTAGGGAGAAAAACAAACTTTATGCATCAGAGTTGTTGCATAATTGCCCTATATACCATCGGTTTTCATTTATGCAGAAACTACACACACCGAGAAATTTAAAACCCAGCGCTCAAGTTGTCTGGATGCCCATGGGTTTGAATCTTGAGGGTTCATACTAGTCTTTATATGACATTAGCAAAAATGCAATGTCAGGGGACCTTCTGTGCTGTTGATGAAGTGCCACAAGTGCAACAGAGCTCATCTGACCAGACTAGACCAGCACGGACAGCTAACAACATGTCGTTCAAGCAAATCAGATGGCACCCTTATAAGTCACAAGAGACAGGATTTATCAGGAATCTAAAGGATTAAGGAGAGGAGAGGAGGAGAACCAGATTAAGACAGGATCAGAGAGAATGCTAGGAATGCAAAGACTGGTGTGAAGTCAGGAGAGGGGAGCTGAAAAATGGGAAGAGAGGCTATAGCACAAAAAACAATTGGTCTAGGGATCCACAAAAGGATACAAGTGAAGGCAAAAAAGCCTTCAGGAAGGAAGGTAGATAGAGAGGTTACTAGGACACCTTGCTCTCCTAGTAGAACAGGCAAGCCTCCAAGAGGCCCTTCCTTAACCTCCATGAGACACGTGTCCCTCTGTTCAACAACTATGGGCTACTTCAGGCACCGAGGAAGTTAGGCCAGCACAGAGCAGTGATGCCCTCGGTGTTTCAGTAGGTCAGCACAGCCCTGAAACCACTTCTTGCCATTTCTGTATAAGTGATCTGCAGGTGTAAAGTCCACCAGTGCCTGGAGACACTCTGCTTTGCAAGACCCCAACATGGATGTCAGCTCAAGCCATTTCAAGGTCAGATAAATTTGATGTGGCACCATAAACTTTTCCTGACAAATCTGCTTTAAAGTCAGGCCTCCACTAGCCAGCTAGAGATTTTCCCCTTTTCTCTGAGATGGGACACATTTGCAAGAGTGACCCATCAACATCGTTGGATGCAGATGCTCCAGGGGCCATCCTTCCAAACAGGAATAGGCTTGAAGAGGTGATTTGTCATGGCATATGGCGCATACAGGTTATCCCTGCTTGCTTTACAGACCTCCACAGACAAAACTGCATGTAGTAGGAGGTGCTGCACTCAGTGGGGTCATGGTGCCCAGATGCGCTGCAGTCTATGGGAACCCAACATCAGGCTCCTTTAGGCTCCTTCTAGTCACAAATCACCTCTATCCTCCTTCAGTATGATGATGTAGGCATGACTTTTTTCCAAATAATTTGGTTGCTAATGAGGTCTTCTTGATAACCACCCATGTTTCATGGAAATATGTATCTCTGGATGGACAGGAGGAATTCAATATTTAGAGAGAAGGGGTTTCAGAACTGGCCTGGAGAAAAAGCATTAAAAAGTAGTGAGAGTTGAAAACTCCCTGGTCCAGACTTCTCACCGGCAAATGGAGAGACAGAGCATACGACAGAAAATGACAAGAGTTTCTGAAAGATACAAGATTTTCCTGCTTCTGAAAATGCCCCTTTCTCTAAGCTTTCTAAAATTGTCACTCAAAAACTCTCTGAATACCACTTGAAAATATCTATCCAAAAGATATGTACATCCAAGTCAACAAAACAAGTCTGGGCCAACCATAGCAATTAAGCCCAGGCATACAGGTTGCTAATCATGGAACAGTAGCTCACATTCACAACACAAAGGAAAATAAACATTCGTTATTCATTTTAATTCTCTTACTTCTTACAGACAGACGCTCAAAGAAATCTGAGACAGTCTTGCTTCTTCTCTCAGAGTCCATCCAGAAAGTCATAGAAAAGTTAATGAGAGACTAGTGCATGAAAAGGCATGTGCGTGACTTAGAGGCTTCAGAAGGGCGTCCTCATTTGTAAACAAGCACCATCCAGCTCTAATTGACTTCAGCTAACAAACTTAATATTTGACTTAACTCAGTCAAAACAATATGAAGTTTGTACCCAAATTTGACTACATGGTAAGTAACTTTCTAAGAAAAGCTGTAGCCAATGAATTATTCCACCAAAAAAGAACTTCATGGAACTCATATCAAAATACATGACTAGCCAGGCAAACAGTTAAGTTATTCAACATAACCCTGCTAAACAAAAAAAAAAAAAAAAAAAGAGGAAAGAATTGCTTTGACAAAATTCAGGAGAGAAAAAGAACAAACATTGTGAAATTTATTCAGTTTTTCTCGTAAATACGTGTGCAGATTTATATACTACAATCTCTAAATGTCTGCTCTGAATGCTTCCTCTGAGAATATTGAATTCATAGGGGCTGCTCAGCTTTGTCATTCGTACTGCACTGTATTGTTTGACTAGTTCTTGGGGCAGACAAGGGGAAATACTTTGGGAAAACATAGATGCTAACATGCAATGCAGTTGATTTCATTCTAGATGATTTTATCACTATCAGACTTTCCTGTGATTATGATGTCCTAAAGAGGGATGCCTGGAACAGGTTTGATTAGACATACCAAATCTCACACTCTGTGTACCAAATGCTGTTGCTGTCTGTGATGAAAAACCATTAGAGTGGGACCAGTGCGACCTTTCACATTCCAGCCAGAAGAGTACAACTCCAAAAGTTGTGCAGACAGCAATAAGATGGCCTTGGGCTCCTGAATATCTATTTCTTATATTTTTCAAACCTCTAGGTGTGCGGACACCAGAGGTTTGAAGTGGACTCTCAAGACTGGAGCAACTGATAGCCCCCAGTTGCTAATTTGCTGATTAATTTGCTGATTTTTTCAGCTCTGACTTTAGGCACTCAAGAAAATCACTGTCATTAAAGGTCTGTGGAAAGTTTTGATTAAGGATTGCTTACCAGTGCCAAAGCTTTCCTCTCCGCAAAGTGAGCAACGTCCAGAGTCCATGAGATTGGAAAAATATCTCCACCCTGTTGGTGTTTCATATACAGGAACTTTCATTACTTTAGCCACTCTAGAAAAGATACAATAAAATATCACACAATTAACATAGTGCTTTTTTTACATGATTTTTGATCAGCTGAAGAATATATCTTGCTGCAGGTCTTGCTGCATCTCTTTTGTACTCTGCAGGTGGGCTACGAAGTAAAACAAAGGAGAACAGATCAAAAGTGTCATTCAGAACTGATTCTTGTCTTAGCATCTGACTTCAGTCAGAACCTGCATATGTTTATACACTCTAAGTGCAGGATTTTGATAAAGAAGGAACCTTAGCTAAACAGGCTTTATCAGGATCTTTCACTTCTTAGTGAGCACCAATCAGTTATAACTACAAATACACAGATATGTTATATTAATATTTGCAATGAAAGTTATAATACCATATAACCATGTTCAAGTACCTTCCTTCATAAAACATAGGTGGCCCACTACTACACACTTGCAAGAAACTTTTTATTTCTACTCATATATTCAAAGTCAAGACAATATAGGACTGTTTATATGTGCAGTATCTGCTCTAATCAAGCTTTCCCAGACCTGACGGAGTCTGAATTTACTTTCCCTGTCTCCTATGACACATCTACACAACAATGCTCCTCAGCTATTTAGCTGACTTACCGATATTCTCAAGAATCAAATAAAACCACTCTATGTGCTGGATCTGCCCTCCCTTCCTTAGGTTGCCAAATGGCAATTATTCCTTTTACAGATTACGCTGAAAAAAATCCTTGCTTGGACTAAAAACAAAAAAAGAAGAAGAAGAAACCCCAGATCCTCTAAGAACTCATTACCGAGCTGAGGATTTATCCAGAATGAATATTACCATTCTTCTTGTTCCTAATCATATTTGCTTGTTTTTATTTTGTGCTTAACATTCTCAACCTAATGTTTTTTAAGATAAAAATAAGACTTAGGAAATAGTCAAGCAATCTAACTGACTAACAAGGACCTTAATACCTCCTCAGGACTGCTGCAACAATCACACCTATCCAACAGTTCTTAAATCCCACCCCATAGAAAAACTCTTGAAGTGAGACAGTTTGTCTGATTTTAGCTGCAGCCAGGCCCACACAAAGCAGCTCACTCAGGTGGGATTCATTCCACCTAACACTATCCACCCAGAAGTGAAGTGTCGAGGCTAAAGCAGTCACCTCTCTGATCAATAGAAAAGTTCTGTCTTTAGAGAGTCTTTCACCCTGTCTTAAAGTAGATGTATAAGGCAGATAGGATGAACTGCCCAAACATGGACATTCTGACTCTTTTGAAATCTGCTACCTAAATGCTCCAGATAGATAGTTCAGCTTTTAAACATTCTCTCTGAATTCCTTAACTTGCTAATCACCTCTGTATTAAGTCCCCAAATCCACTGTTTCTTCCACATAATAGATATCCACTGATAGACCTAAATCTTCAGATATTCAGCCTAAATGTTCATTTTGTCTTTATATATTAAACTGAAAAACGATGTTTTATGAATGAGATCATACAGGAACTGCTGATACTTATTTCAAAAGGAACTAGTGAGGTATGTGAAGAAACAAAATATTATCAGAAGGTTTGATCTTAAACTTGAGACCTATATTGATCAACATCAAGGGTTTATCAGGGCTCTTACACTTCTCCAAGATTTCTGTTAACTAGGCTAGTACTGAAAACATAGATGGTAATTCTGTTGGCATGAGGTTTATTTCAAACTAAGCCTTTCAGGTAAGCAAGCAAGCAAACATAATATACGAATAAACAGAATTTTATAGCAAAATATGGTAGCTTGTTTCTTGTAACATGTTTTCATTCCTGAGTCTAAGACTTTAACAGAGTAAATAAGTAGAAGGAGCAAATTAGGTCAACTTTAGCCACTTCTGTTCAGTAGCACGGGGAAAAAGACAGCCACATAATGTCACACACAAAAGGTGCAAGATCTAGTAGATAATGGACTAGATAACATATCACATTGTAATCCTAGATCATGTCTGCTATTAGCTGTGCTCAGAGGAGGTTCATTTCCTGCTCTATGTCTGTTTTTCCCAGTTAGGCTGTCACTTCTTTAGGTAAGGACTAGCTCTGTTTTCATAGAAATAGAACATGAAAAGGCTTCAATCCCAGCTGAGTAATGCAAACTACAGCAACCTTTAAAACAATCTTTTCTGGCACAAAGCTTCAGAAAGGTAATAGTACTAATAAACAAATACTCTACACTAACATTTAAATATTATAATATATGACAAGATCGCCATATCATCTCATCAAGATAGCAGTGGGCAGAACCCCATCCGCAGTGTGGGGCTATATAATGATTAGAGGGTGCTAATGGGAGAAAATAAAGCCCCCCAAATTATCCCTTTCCATAGAGCTGTGCCTACAATCTCAGTAATACGAGCAGAATGTACATTTCATATACAATAGCCTTACAGAACCAGTGTATCTACCAGTACTATTTACTGGCAGCAGATCATATGTGTCAGTAAATAAAGGGAATAGTCCCAGTGGGTCTGGACCTACAGAAACATCTTTGAAGAGCACTGATTCACGTGCTGCAGATTCTTCTAGCAGTATACAAAGCAGTTAAATAATGTCTCTTGTATGTAGCTGTTAATCTCAAGAATACACTGCTACATGTCCCTAGCAGTGAATAGCTGCTTTCGGAGACTCTGTACTGGCTTCATATATGCACAAAATGCTTCAGTTTCCCATGTTAACTGTGTGACATCACTAGAACTGAGCATGAGAGCTATAAAAGGCACACTAAGAACTGAAAACATCCACTTTTCTTTTATTGTCATATTATGGAAATAAAGGATCATCAGTGGAAGTCTCAGTAAGTACAAAATGTGCCTTTATGTAATTTATAGGCAATTAGAGCAAATGATCACCCCAGAAATCATGAGAGGGATTCCCACAGGAAGGCATACAAACAGGAATAATATCTTGCGTTATATTAATCAAGTAACAATGAAGACTACAGGAAAATAAGCTCATATTCTGCACCTGGGAAATTACTAAATCTTCAAAGCCAGAGAAAACAGAGATTAAATGTTAGAAAGGGGAGGGATTTAAATTCCTGTGCAACTATGTCTTTCTAAACAAGCAGAAGTATAACTGGATTCAGTACAGAGAAGGTAAAAAAAAAAATCTTCATTTAACAAAACCTTTTTTGGAGTTGCAAAATAAACAAGTCTCTGGTCACCAACCCGCTCTCCTATAGCCCAAATGACAAAATCAAAACTGTCAGACACTGCTACACTGAGTAGCCAGATACACAAAAAAGTCTGCCAACTCATCCAAAGGGTGGCATTCCTCCTGAACTAAAATTTGTAAATGGATGTATATGCACTACAGAAGCTTTTCTGGGACTTCCTAATGCAGCATACGACTTCGTAACAAGCTTGAAAGAAACTGAGAACATTTTATTCTACTAGGCAAAGAAATGCTTCAGATGCGCATAACTGGATTTCTGGAAGTTATAATTCAGAAAGCACAAATGCTAGTGAGCCAAGGTAAAGGTTCTTGTTTTGTCTGTAAGGTTCTCAGATTCGTTAATTACAGTCCACGATGTTTTTAGCTATGTGCCTTCACAGGATAGTTCAAACAACTCTAAATATATGCAGTATTTTAAATTTCTTTTCTTCCTTCTGTATGTTCCCATTGGGGTCTGTTTGTGTTCTTGGATCTCTAAATCTGGGGAGCTACAAATGGAAATCAAGTGCTTACCATAAAGTTTTCACTGTTCGTAGGAGATCTCTTGGTTCAGACAGAATACTATTTTTCTCAGAGACTGAGTTTTGGAACTGGTGCTGCCTTTAAAGAGATTCTAACCTGTAGAGATCGTGAATGCATCATCGCACTCATCTCCGAGTAAATCTGGCATGTTCTTACACATGTATATATACATATGTACGATACATCAGCATCAAGATACAGATGCAGTAGGGCTCCTGATAAGACAATACCCCGAACTCTGATTCCTGTGGGTGTAGGTATTAGCTATCAAAAAGGCCAGCTGGATGGATGGAATGTACTTTCCACCTAGTTCAAAGTAAAATCTGGAGGAAAATACGCCTTATAAACAGGATCATATTCCTAGTCCATTTGAAGTAAAAACAGTCTATTTATGTCTCACCACACAGTTGATATACCTGTGTTTATATGTTCCGTGAGAATGAACTATGTAGAAGCAATAAAGCAAACTGTGGATATTCTGGGTCTTATCATCTCAGACATTTAATGGGACAGACTTCAAACAGTACTCTTGCTTGCCTTCTACATCAATGAGATTACACAATAAAGTTATTTGTGCCTGTGCGTAGCACTAGTTAGCTCTTGCTAGGCTGAGACAGAGGTATATACACTTGGACCTAAACTGTAGGACAATCCCTTTAGCTATTGTGCTTATATTAGAACAGATTGTATTTATGTTTCCAGCATGTTGAAACACAAATTAAGGAGAAAAAAAAAAAAATCCAAATAAGAGGGAAGTGTTCTTTTTGCAGTGACACATATTTTTTGCAACTATATTTTGTGAATTTAAAAAAAAAAGGGCAACAGCTGTTTTTAGATGGGGAAATAATAAAGTGAGCTTTAAAAAAAAAATTACTGTTAAGGTTTTATAGTTAAATTTATCCTCCTGCTCTAGAACTTCACACTCATTTTTATTTTGGAGAGCTAGCCCCATATTACCTATACTGATCTTCCACTTTTTATTGAAATATTAGAAGAACAAAATGCAGCTGTGAGAAGGAGCTTGAGTTATTTCATCACTAGAAAAAAGAATCATGAAAGAGTTTAGTACCAACACAGAACTGTTAAGCCAGTTCTGGATCTCTTCAATAAGAGCCATCAAAGCCTGAGCTGGCCAGTTCATAATGAAACTAATAATGAACGTAATAATAAGGTTCACAGTGAAGACCAGAATTTTTGAAAACTTCCTGCCAGGAAAAAAAAAAAAGTTAATAACTAGTTCTAAAATTGCCTCAGAAAGCCCTCACAGACTAATGTGGAAAACTTATCTGCCCTTCA